AACCACTATATCCAAAACATAATCACTTCAATATTCACTTAACAAAAAATTGTCAGTGAGATATTTAACTTTTTTTGTTATAGTAAAGCTTTAAATTTTCTTGTCTTTGTGTAAATGGTCTGGAACTCACCAAAAGTGCTTTTAGAGTACTGGAATCACCTGTAGGGTGATACCAGTGCTCCTAAATAAAATCAAGATTTCTGGTGTTGGGTCTCTGGGCACCAATATTTTCAAATATCCCCCAGATGATTCTGATGTGCTATAAAAGAACTAACTGAATTTCTTTCTCACAGGCCACAAAATTCCTTCTCCAACTTTCCATCTCCTTCTCTCTCACTCTCCCTCTCTCCCTCTCCTGAATAATGTTTCTCAGTTCTTTGGGAACCAGTGGCCTTGAAGCTTTAAGAATTTAAAAAGTTCAACCTGGGAGAACCTTCAGGATTATCTGGTTCTTTCTTCTCTCTGCAATCAAGTTAATAGTTAATCCACTGGAGACAAAAGTTTATTGATCCCATTTCAAGCTCTGTCTTGCATACCAAATGTAAGTGAATAATTAAGGTTCTTTAATACTTGGTAATCAAGAAAGCTGCTTTAAGATTTTTCTCTGCTGGAAGAATGTTCCCTTGATGTTCCAAGGCTTGGTTTATCTCTAGTCTGTTCCTGGACATTTTAGTTTATTTAAAAGCCTGGGGGATTATTTGCTCTCCTTCCCTCAGTTAAAAGGGCCTTCCTCCTCCAGCAACATGGATTGAAATCCTATCACTGTGTTGATGCCTATATCATATGACATCTCTCCCATTAGCTCCTTCCTGGTCTAGGTGTAATCTTTCTCCCTTGAGTCTCCTTGGCACTCTATATTCTCTTCATGGCACTTCTTCACTCTTCTTTGCTTTTTACTTGGTAATAGATTATAAATTCTGTCAAGGTGGAGATTATGTAACAAAAGGCACCATTCTGTCTTGCCTGTTTCCTAGCAGAGTGATGCAGGTAGTAGAGACATGAAAATTTGACCTCAGTAAGATTGGTTAATGGTGTCTTTCAAGGACAATAAAACCGGAGGGGGAAGATAGGTTTCCCATCACACAGGAAGTCACTGGCAGACTGGGTTCTAGACCCACACTAACTCATCAATTTCCTACCCCACCCAGGAATCCTCAAACCATGCATGGAAAGATAGGCGAATTTTTCAGCCTCTAATTTCATATTTACTCTTATTTCCAGACTGCAGTGGGCTGTATAGGGCTTAAAATGTCATATGATTTGGTTTAAAGCTGACTGCAAATGTAATTCCAAGCCAAACTGGCCTGAAAGATAAAGAAGCTCCTAACCACCTACTTTTACAGCAAAGAAGTTATAACAAAGGGAAGGATTCATACCTAGGAAATCTAATCCCTTTCCCGGCAGACTATTTTGCACCATCCACCGTGCCACCCCATCCCTTATCCCCACTCCATCTTACCACCCTCTGCATTGTAATCCTTCCAAGAGCTATTGAAATCCATTACCAGGCCGGCGCCGCGGCTCACTAGGCTAATCCTCCACCTAGCGGCGCCGGCACATGGGGTTCTAGTCCCGGTTGGGGCGCCGGATTCTGTCCCGGTTGCCCCTCTTCCAGGCCAGCTCTCTGCTGTGGCCAGGGAGTGCAGTGGAGGATGGCCCAGGTGCTTGGGCCCTGCACCCCATGGGAGACCAGGAAAAGCACCTGGCTCCTGGCTCCTGCCATCGGATCAGCGCGGTGCGCCGGCCGCGGCGGCCATTGGAGGGTGAACCAACGGCAAAAGGAAGACCTTTCTCTCTGTCTCTCTCTCTCTCTCACTGTCCACTCTGCCTGTCAAAAAAAAAAAAAAAAAAATCCATTACCATACATCTTTCCATTCTTCAGAGACTTAGCTATGAATATTTTGGAATATGAAAATTATCAAGTTAGATCCAGGTTTCACCAATCTGCCAATATACCTCCCAAAAGAAGAATAAACCCTACCTCCAAGCAGGTAATTGTCATTCAGCTGGTTAAGGGTAGATGGTCCCACATTGAGGCAGCTTTGCCTCCTGAGAGCCCTGACATCAGCAGCCTGGAAGGAAAGCTTCTATCAGCCATGTGAATGGAGTGAGCAGTACCTGCCCATTAATGGTCCCTGTGACAGAGTTGGCAGCTGTTGAGCTTGGGGACCACAGAGTCCTTTGGCTTTCCAACTCTGGGGAGAATTTCGAGAAGGAGTCACCATAATCCATTTGAATTTGTATGACAAATCATAGACTTGACAGATTATAAATAACAGATATTTATTTATTATGGTTTTGGGATATGGGAAGTCTAAATCAAGGTGCCAGCAGATCTGATGTCTGCTGAGAGCTTTCTTCCTGGTTAAAGACAGCAGTCTTTTCACTGTGTCCCAACATGGCAGAAGGGACAAGGGAACTCTCTGCTGTCCTTTTGAAAGGAGTCTCTCTACCTTCTTCACTTGATCACTTTTCAAAGGCCTCATTTCAAATACCATCGCTTTGTGGATTAGGTTTCAACGTAGGAATTTTGGAGGGGCATACATGGTCTATAGCAGAGTGCAACTGATTTTCTTTGAAGCCGGTACCCACCCAGAGTAGGTGGTAACATAGTATAAAGTCAAGGGAAATCCTAACTGGTGAGTACAAATGCTTTATGGGGGAAGGAACCACCAAGAACATTTCCTGGGGATAATATCAGCCTGGAATGGGTTGAACTTCTTCCAAGTCCCATTAATTTATATTAGAAATTATAAGGGTTTTCTGTGATAAAGTTTTATACACCACGCCATCCTGAGACAACTCAGACAAAGCTACTCTTGGAAGAATCATCTTCCAAATGATTGCTTTAACTTTCCTGTTAGGCTCTGGATTCAATACGCTTATCCATCTGGAGATAACAATAATCTTAAAATTTCCTTCAAGTCATCCTTCTAAGCCCAACTTTCAGGTAGGTGTTTATCATAGCAGTTAATATACTGCTTAAGATGACCTTGGAGCACCTGAGTGTGATACCTGGCTCCTATACCTGAATTTAACTTCCTGTAAGGCAGACCCTGGGAGGCAACAGTGATGACTCTAGTAGCTGGATCTCTGCCACCCATGTGGGAGACCTGGCTTGGGGTTCCTGGCTCCCTGCTTTGTTCTTTCCTCTTCCTGGCCATTATGGGCACTTGATTGGTAAACTGATGGATGACAGGAGCTCTGTGTGTGTGCATGTGTATTTGTATCTCTGTCTCTCAAATACATTTTAAAACATTTAAAAAATGGGGCTGGTGCTGTGGCATAGTGGGTAAAGCTACCACCTGCAGTGCTGGCATCTCTTATGGGCGCCAGTTCATGTCCCGGCTGCTCCACTTCCAATCCAGCTCCCTGCTGATGGACTGGGAAAGCAGTGAAGGATGGCCTAGGTACTTGGGCCCCTGCACCAGCATGGGAGACCCAGAGGTGGCTCCTGGCTCCTGGATTCGAATTGGCTCAGCTCCGGCAGTCACAGCCATTTGGGGAGTAAACTAGCAGATAGAAGACCTTCTCTCTGTCTCTCCCTCTCTCTGCCTGTAACTCTACCTCTCAAATAAATAAATAAATAAATCTGTAAAAAATTTAAAAAGCAACTCCTCCATGTTTTACTTATATTAAAATGTAAATGGTCTGGGCTGTCTTCATAAAGTAATTATACAAGGCATTTAAATATCTGTCACTGAAATCATTAAACAAGAGGAATAAATGGACTCCCTATTAAAACATAAGACACTGAAATGATTTGGGGTCTCTTTTTTTTAAATTTATTTGACAGGTAGAGTTATAGACAGTGAGAGAGAGAGAGAGAGAAAGAGAGAGAGGTCTTCCTTCATTGGTTCACACTCCAAATGGCCACCATGGCCGGCACTGCGCCGATCCAAAGCCAGGAGCCAGGTGCGTCTTCCTGGTCTCCCATGTGGGTGCAGGAGCCCAAACACTTGGGCCATCTTCCACTGCCCTCCTGGGCCACATCAGAGAGCTGGACTGGAAGAGGAGCAACCAGGACTAGAACCATATGGGATGCTGGCGCCGCAGGCAGAGGATTAACCAAGTGAGCCATGGTACCAGCACAATGATTTGGGGTCTCTATACTATCTTTACATAAGTGGTAAAGGGAGAAGAAAATATGTGATGGAACATGAATGGCCTACAATCACTGATTCAGTAGTTCTACTAACTTACAGGCTGTTATTGGCTTCGAAGATGTTGCCAAGGGTCTTGATTGCACCTGAATTTGAAAGGCAAACGTCATCAGGGAGTCTGAAGGTGGCATATGGGCCTGGACTCTGCCACTTACTAGGTGGATACTCTGAGCCAGTTCGTTAAACCATGAAATGGACACTATATGAAACTAACATTATATCTGCAATACAGTAGGCAATCAATGTACAGGTGTTAATAGTTCTGGACTCCCATTAAGTCAGGATTTATACTTCAGAGCAGCTGCTGAGTTAACTTGAACCTTGTGCTGAGGGCTGGGACCTGCCACAAAATTGAGTCTTTGAGAATGTCATGAACTGCTGGTTCTTGAACCACTCCTGTCACCCTAGCCCCTCCTGAACTCATTGTGCAATGTCTGGCATGAAGTAAGAACTCAATAAACAAAGCCTTTAAATTGAACTTCTTAACTCATGTTTTTATATTTTTATTTATTTGAAAGGCAGAGAGAATGAGAGAGAGAGAGAGGAAGAATGAATGAGAGATCTTTCCATATGCTCATTCATTCCCCAAGTGCCTACAATAGTCTGGGTTGGGCCAGGCCAAAGCCAGGAGCTTGGAACTCCATCCAGGTCTTCCATGTAGTGGCAGGAACCAAAGTATTTGAGCCATCACCGGTGCCTCCAAAGATATGCATTACCTGCCTGTAATTCATTGTTATTCATTTATTTATTAAAAAAAAAAACAGAGTAACACACGGGGGTGGGGAGGGAGGGAGGGAGAGAGAGAGAGAGAGAGAGAGAAATCTTCCATCTGCTGGTTCACTCTCCAGGTGGCTGCAATAGCCAGTGCTGGGCCAGGCTGGAGCCAGTAGCAGGAAATCCATCAATGTCTCCCACGTGGGTGGCAGGGACCCAACTATTTGGGCCACCTTCTGCTGCTTTCCCAGGCATTTTAGCAGGGAGCTGGATCAGGAGAGCCTCAAATTGGTGCTCCGATGTAGAATGCCAGCATCACAGGTGGTGGCTTGACCTGCTGCACTGCAGTGCTGTAACTCCTTAAGAAACACTACTCAAGAAGATAGGAATTACAGGAACACTACGCACTGAGATGCCTGACAAGGAAAAGAGACGAAAGTACTTCCAGGTTCCTGAGGGATCACCTGGGAAACAGGGAGCACCAGGAAAAAGTCTGCAGGGAAGGCCGAAGCCTGATGGAAACGTTAGGAAGAGGATTGTTTCTCACTTACTGCTTTGCCTTAATGGACTGATTCATAGAATCCAAAACTGTCAGCATAAATGACTGTAGAAGTCACCTGGAGATTCACCCCAGGCCCACAGAAGGTAAGTGGGGCTTGTGTACAACCATTGGGTTAACAAAATAACTGGGCCTAGTGTCCAAGGCTTGACTTTCTTATCAGTGCTTTTTTTCCAGAAAACACTGTGACTTTCCAGAAGAGAGTATGAGTGGTTTGTTTTTAATTTTATTTATTTATTTATATTTTTTGACAGGCAGAGTGGACAGTGAGAGAGAGAGAGAAAGGTCTTCCTTTGCCATTGGTTCACCCTCCAATGGCTGCTGCGGCTGGTGCACCGCGCTGATCCGATGGCAGGAGCCAGGTACTTATCCTGGTCTCCCATGGGGTGCAGGGCCCAAGGACTTGGGCCATCCTCCATGGATGAGTGCAGTTTTTAAAAGGCTCTTCTAATGTGTTTGGAACAAGGAGAAATGAAAGGAATAGGCCATCCCCTGGGGCTGGAGTCTAATGTTGAGAGAGAAGAGTCTTATTTCCTATCAAAGGAACCTAATCTTCAGCACGATAAAAAGGAGAGTCCAAAATAGTTAACAGGTGATTAAGTTTTAACACAGGTGAGAAGATAGCGTGCCCAATCTATTTAATTGGATTCAAGCCTCCAGACTCAAAGAAGTTCCGTTTCAGAATACTGAGGAACTTGCAGCTGCTGTTAATGCTGGCCTTGGGTTTCAAAGGAAGGGTTAACTAGCTGTCTGACATCAACATATATGGCAAAGCCAAAGCAAATTTTATTCTTAATCCTTTCTGCAACCGGAGTTCCTCAGTTTCTACTCCTCCTTTGTGCCTGTCTCGCTACCCTGTCTTTGGTCACTGAAGTGGGGAGTCAATTCCTTTATAGAAGCAGCATTTTGAAAAATTTCAGTGGAATAAATGAAGCAGTGAAACCAACAAAATGAAAGTTAACAGAACAAGTGGCAAGCGGTAAGTTCTGCATTTATCATTTTATATTATGAACAAGAAATACAAAACAGGATATGTAGAATAAAAAGTCATTCACATAATCCTGGTGGACTCCACACATTACTTTGTGTGATACAGCTACCAAAACAGCTAATGAAATCTTAGAAAGCATTAAGAAAGCCATAGTTTTCAGAATAAAAGAATAGGGTTACTGTTCTTTGCCAGACATCATATCATCTGCTGTATTCTGTTCAACTTAATAGGTGTACAGAGAAGGATAAATAAGATGATCTAGAACCCAAGATCACAGGAGCTCAAAGGATTAGGGAATTTTCATTTTGGGTAGCAGACAGCTGTCCAATTTTAAAAAGATACTATGGTTTGTACAGGCTGTGGCCCCCAAACTCATGCAGATGGTCAAATCCCAAAGTCACACGTTCAGTATGCGAAGAAAGTGAAGACTTAATCCAGTTATGGTGCCTAAGAGGTGGACCTACAAGGAGGTCCTTAGGTCATAGGGAGCATGCCTCTGCACGATTGTTCTCATGAGAGGGTTGCCTAGGGAAGGCTAAACCGGGCCCAGCCGCTCCCTCTGTTCCTGGCTCACTCTGCGATGCTTCCTCTGCAATGCTCTTCCATTGCTGTCCTCCGACTTCACCAGACACTTCAACCAATGGGGCCTCTCCAGTCTTGGATGGTGAATTGCCAAAACCTTGAGCAAAATAAACCTCTTTGCTTCATGAGCAACTTCTCTCCAGTATTTGGGACTGAACTAGGAAGGAGCCAGCCTTTTTCTCTGTGTTGCTTTGTAAAATTAGCTTCAGGTGAAGGCAAACTTTTTTGTAACAAAAGGGAAAGAAAACTAGTATTGGTTGACATCATGTGTCCCTTGCTGTGCTAAGTACATTAAATTATTTTATTAAAGTTTTTTGGAAATGTATGGATATCTGGGAGGGTGGTGAGCTCCCACCGCAAGTCATGTTTCCAGTTTAGCACTATTCAGGTAAAGCGTCGTTATCTCTTTTCTGCTTCCAAGACATGGGAACACCATCAGAGCCCTTCTGGCACCAGCTTCCTCCTTGGAGGCAGACTATCTTGGGCAGCCAAAATGTCTATGCTTTTCCAATCTACATCCAGCCCAGTTTCAAGTTTGCATAATCCTGCTGGATGGCTGACTGCAAGTGAGGGGCCACTTAGTCCGTATTTTCCAAGTCGCCTTCCCAAGTCTTGAATGTCGGAATGCAAGGATGTGTCTGTTGGAAGGGCTTGGTGATGGAGAACCCAGGAATTCCATGGACTTATGAGGACTGTAGGGTCAGATGGGAATGGGTCAGGACATACTCTGTGAATGCGCTTCTGTCCAGTTGCAGCCCTTCTCCTCACATATACCTGTAGTTTTACACCACAAGTCCTAAAGTCTTCTGCCCCTTCTGCCTCAGGGATGCTCCGGCAAGTGAACAGTGTATTAGCCAGGGTACTGTCCTGGCAGAAACCAAAACTTAGCTTGGAGTATTCAATCCTAAAGAGACTTTAAAAAGGGACCATTTCAGAGGAGTGAGCAGGAAATCCACAAAAGAGCCTCCTACTCCACTTACTTTGTTAAATAACCTAACCTCATGTCATATTTGCATATTTAATTATATGTTTATTGTCTGCCCATCCCCACTACAAAGTGGGCAGAGAATTGTGTCTGTTTTGTTCATTACTATAATCCTGGCACCTAGAACACCATATGGTCTAACAAAGGTGTTCAGTAACTATTTGTTGAATGAATGAATGAAGACTAAACAGACTCATTAGAATGCATATAGAGAATTGCCCAGGAATGACATGTGATCCATCTTTCCTGTTTCCAATTCCATCACAACTTTGAGTAAAGGAGCTGAAACACAAAGATTGTATTTGGCCACAAGAGGGCGGTGTTGATCAGTCTTTGTAGGGGCCTTGTTGTGAGACAATCTTATCCCCAAACCACAAAAAGAAAATCTGGGACAGAACCATGTCCTCAGCCAAAGCAAGCACATCGACATTGTCTTCCATGTGAAATTCACTGAAAATTTCATAGGGAATGTTCTCTAAAGGAGACAAGGGCACTGAGAAGCCAGAGCATGAGCAGTGTGGAGGAAGGAGCTGCCAAAGGACACCTCAACCGCTTAGCTTCAGTAACCATGGAGACACCTCCAGCTAGACATATGACCTCATGTTTTGTTGTACCTTCCTCACCTCCCTTCTCTCTGTGCTGTCAACTCCCAATAGTCTTTTGTTGCAAAAGACTGGGCTTTCACAATATACAATCTAAACCCATGCTTCTAGTTATCACTCCTCAGATGCTCTTGGAAAGAAATACAAACCATCATAGGGATTTTTTCCTAAGTCTCACTTTGTAAAGCCACCATTCTAAGGGGCTGTGTACAAAGGCATCATAAACCCCAAGATACAGGCACTCAGTCGTGGCACCATAAGGCAGTCATGGACAGGGCAGGAAGAGGGGAAGGCCAGACAGGTGGCCTGCAGCGAGGAGAGGTCACGGGAGGCATGTTGGAAGTGAGGAAATTTGAGTTGGGCTTTGAACAATAGGTAAGTGTAAGTGTATTTGGCTGTTTCTAAAGCACTTTCCAATTTTACACATTGACTTTTATTCACATTTGAATTTTAAGGTAATTTTCTTCTCATTTATGAATGAGTAAAAGCACATATGCGTGTGAAAAAGGCCAGCTTTTCAGCGCATCCCACTCCTCTAAGACATAAAATAAAAAGTGTGGTAGGGGAGATAAGGTGTCATTAAAATTACAGAAAGGAACAAGCCTTCTATTCATCCTACTGGCTCCTTAATGGAATGCCCTTTATCCTCACTCCAGAGTGACTGGAGAATCTAACAAAAGAACATGTGACTTTTTCTTTATTTTTAAGAAAATGTGGAACAGACCATAGAAGTTCTGGGAGAGTTTTCCATTCAAGTGCAGGTTGTATCAACGGTACAGGGCAGAACTGGTGGATGCCCAGCGAGGCTCCAGGACTCCCAGACCAAATGTAGGCTAACATAGTGGTCTCTCTACAAACATATTCTTTATTTGAAAGAGAGACACTCTAGAGGGGAAGCAAAGAAAGAACAAAATGAAGACATCAAACATCAAGTAGTAGCTCTGAGTCAGCAGCTCCCACTTCCTTCCAGGACGACCCTTCAACACAGTGGCCTCTGCTATAGCTCCCTCTACTCAGGAGCAGGGTGAGCCCCCACTGGCCACCCCAGACTAGTGTGGTAGAACTTCTTCCACCTCTAGAGTGAGGGAGGGAAATAAGACGTCCCTCAGCCACGTCAAGGTGTCCCTGCTCATTACCATGGGCAGGGCATCCACAAGGAGGTCCGGGTTTATGTACTGCAGATGGAAAAACACGTAACCCAGCAGCCTAATGAAGATCATGGCCATGAAGACAAGACACCGGAAATGCCTGCAAAAAGACACTTATCATTAGCGCAGGGGAAACAGCCCAAGGTCAAGCAGTGCAGATGAACCTCACACTTACAAATTGCTGGTGAATTGTTTCTTCAGGCAAATCTGGTGGTCTGGGGAGGATAGGTGGGAGGTTGGGGGGTACAGAAGGTAAGGGTAGTGGGATGGTGAATACAGAAAAAAGTGATGCCATGGTCAGGAGTTGAGTATAACTCTTCTGATACTTTTGTCTTCCAGCAGAATAGATATCCACAAAGAAAGATTGGAAGAGCAAAAGGAGATGACTTTCCAGGTACTATATTTTAGGGATTCCTTTTTAGGGGTTGTCAGAAAATGTTCAAAAGTGTCCCACTCACAAACCTCATCATCAGTGCCCCTCTTCTGGCCTTTTATAGCAAACAGTTCTAGAACCTGAAACATGATTTAGCCACCTGTGACATTAACATCCAGGTAAAGTGAACACCAGCATTTTCTAAACAGACCAACAGACCAAGTCCAAAGAGACCAACCCAAACAGTAAAAAATGTGTGTGTGTGTCTGTGTGTCTTCTTATGTATACCCAAACCAAAATTCTACCCTGGCAACTAGTCAAAGGCTGTTGTTCTTCAGTTATACTGACATGTCCTAAATAAAAGTTTTCCTTAAAGTGACACATGAAACATGTCTGGGTTAGTCTCCATATTTCAAAAATCAAAAAAAAAAAAAAAGGCACAGAGAGTTCAGTGTCATGTTTTTTTTTTTCCCTCAAGTTTTCAACTTGAAGCAAAAGAGCTAAGAAAATTAATGCCCCTTGAACTCCCCCCAACAGAGAGGACAGTGGAGCTTGTCAGATTCAGGACCTGGAAAGTGGAAAGGGGCCAGGCTGAGGTTCATAAACGTGGAAGTTGAGGGTGAAATACAGCCTACAGCCTTCATCTGAACTCAGAAAAAGCCAGTAATTCTTCTAACCATTTATCATTGTCTAACTCTGATGTTATAATTCTGGGTTGCGAAAGGAAGGAAGGGGCTGCCTGATGTTCTCTCTTTGATGGGTAGGGTTTTCTTTATTACTTTCTCAGATCAGCTGCAGAGCCATGTGATCTGAACTAGCTAAAAACTAAGATTCTGCCATTTACCTGTACCAAAAGACCCTCTTTTGTTTCTTCATGATGGTCCTCTCCTATGGGAGGTAATAAAAATCACAGTTATGGCTGTCCACATGCTCACAGAAGGGTAATGTAGCAGAATGGCTAAGAGTTGCCACCTGGAGTCAGGCTGCCTGGGTTAATGCTGGCTCTGCCACTCTCTATGTGTTAGGGTATGGAGCAAGGCATTTCCTAACTCCAGGGTTATTGATGGACACACATACAACACACACACACACACACACACACACACAGAGACGGACACACAGGGAGGAATGTAGAGAGACAGACATACAGGGGGAGAGAGAGAGAGAGAGAAGAACATACAAATCCAGGGAAGGGGAGAGTAGGGGGGAAATCCTGATTTGGAGTAGCAAGGACCTACCACGTCGCTTTGGATGGTCTCCACCAGAATTGATCCAGGCTTCACAATTTGGGAGGAGTTATTCTGGACTTTGGATCTAGGTAAAAAAGATCAGAGCCAATAATGATGTAAAATAATCCAAGAGACTGATGAGAGGAGTTTCCTAAGTCATTTTTCATCTATGATCATGATTTATTTCCTGGATCCAAAATAACATTCACTATGCTCCACATTCAAAATTCATAATTGCTCAGCATACTAAGAACCAGGGTAATGTGATCCATTCTCAAGAGAAAGAAAATTTATAAGATAAAGATTGATGTGACCCTAAAGTTAAATTCAAACAGAAGTCTGTCTTTTGGAGGCAGTTCAAAGGTCAGTTCTGGTCTTGTATCCCCAGCTGAGCTGTTTGCAGATGATCCTGAGTGTGCAAGGCTTGGAGCTCCTCTGGAGACCGGGACAGAGTTTAAATGTAAGGCCTTCTCATGCCTGGCTCCCTGCTTTCCTTCCAGCACCCTTGGCTGCCCCAACTCTGTCTTCTAATTTTTATCCCAGAAAAACCATTTAGCTGCCTCTTACACACCAAGTTTGGCCTACACTCAGGCTAGCAGCTCTGCAAATGAGGCAGTAACCTCCTGCTATCCTCTCCTTCCAAGAGTCGGCGCCTCTGTCATATCTGCCTGCTTTTCTTCATTCCCCATTGCCTTCTGGTCATTGATTGTACATTTATTTTCATTTGTTTTATTTTGTTGTTCACATTTTATAATTATTTTCCTCCCCCTGGAGGGGTTGGGTCCAATGAAAGCTTAATCAGCATTTTCATGGGAATTTCTTTTTATAATCATCAAATGAAAGAGAAAAGATAGAAGTGGTACAGACTCCTGATTCTTGCCCCAATGGAATAACTGTATCAGACTAGTGCACCTTGAAAAGCAACTGTGAAAACTGGGCACAATGCCTGACAGCTGTTGGAATGCATTGGCAGGTGCAGGCAGAAGTCAGGGGGATGCTGACTCATGAAGCTCACTGGACTGAGCTCATTCACCCAGGCTTTTCCCTAGGACATTTACCAATCTGTGGTTCAGGGCAATCGAGTCCAAGCAGCAATGACACCTTCAATTGGCTGAGGACACGGAGGCTGGAATTCAAGGCCATCAATGTGACTATGACTTGAGGGGAAAAACTCAAGGGAGGTAGAAGTGAGTTCAAACATCTGAATGGATTTTCCTCTCAAGGTAGCTGGCTCCTAAATTGTGTGTGTGCAGCTCAAGATTCCAAGAAAACAGAAGGTGAAGAGGTAAGCAAACAGTGGTGTAATCACACAGTGTGTGGAGGAAAAGTCAGGGTGCAGGGGGCATGCACATGTTTTCAAGGAAAAAACATGATCCTTTCAACAGATGGTACACAAAGGTTTCCCAAAATGTAGTATATGTCATGACAAAAAGTATTCAGCAAGCTGAAAATAAAAGGGAAATGTCTTAGTCTGACAAAGCATGGCTACAGGAAAGCCATATATCATAATACTTAATTGTAAAGCATTAACACTTTCTCCCTAAGTTCAGTGATAAATAAATAAATGATATCCACCATCACTCTCTCTAGCCTATGTTGTACCAAAAGTCATAACTAATGCTGTAAGTCAAAAAGATAATAACAGGTTTAAAGATTGGAAAGAGAAAAACACAACTGTCATTATTTTTGAATAAAAATCTAAAAGAATCTACAGATTACTAGAATAAATGGATGTAGCAAGGTTGATGGATACGAATTATATGTAGATAAACCAATGTCATTCCTGTATACTAGGAGTAATCAGGTCAAATTAATGAACATGTGAGTTATAACAGCAATGAAATATCAAATACCTGGGAATAAATCTGATGAAAGATACACAAAAATACTATGCAGAAAACTACAGAACATTATTTTCAGAAATTAAGGAAGACTGAAATAATCAGAAGGATAAAGATGTTAATAGTTTGGAAAACGGTCATTTAAATATTATCGTTCTACCAAATTTATCTGTAGGATCCATGTAAATCCAATCAATCTTTCAATACTTTTTGTTTTTAATAGAATTTGAAAAACTGGTTTTAAAATTTCTATAGAAATGCAAGAACAACCAAGATAATCTTGAAGAACAACAAAGTTACAGAACTGAAGAAACCATATATCAAGATATTACAAATCTACAATACTTAAAGCATTGTGGTATTGGCACGAGTATACAGGCATAGACTAACAGTACAAAACAATCATCCAGAGATAGACCCACATATAAATACTCACCTGGCTTATAAAACAAGTCACCATTGCAAATGCATGGTCTCTTCAAAATGGTGCTGGACCAATTGACAAGCCATCCAGAAAAAATCTTAATCTCTACCTCAAACTACATGGGAAAAAAAATTCCAGATGAATGGAACTTAAGGGTGAAAGTTAAAACAATAAAACTTTCTATGGGAAATTATAGGAGAGTAGTTTTTTTTTCATTCAACCATTTATTTTTCCTCCAGAATCCTTTTATTTAAGGAATACAAACTTCAAAAATTTCATATTTACAACTTTAGGAACATGGTGATTCTTCTCACTGAGCCCTTGTCCCACCCATTCTCTTATTGTCATTCTTTTTACCAAGATCTATTTTCAATGAACTTTATAGACATATGATTGATTATGTTAAGAGTTTAGCAAATAGTATGAAAGAAAAAATAAACCTGTTCCTCAACAGTCAAGACAAGGATGTTCAAAGTTATTGCTTCTCAAAGTGTCAATTTCACTTTTAGGTTGTGTGTTAGGTGCTCTGTTAGTTATCACAGGTCAGAGAGAACATATGGCATTTGTCCTTTTGGGACTGGCTTATTTCACTTTGATGTTTTTCAGTTTCATCCATTTTGTTGCAAATGACTTAATTTCATTTTTTGTTTTGTTTTTGATTTTTTTACTGCTATGTATATTCCATGGTATACATATCCCATAATTTAACGAGTCTTCAGTTGACGGGGAATTGGGTTGATTCCATATCTTAGCTATTGTGAATTGAGCTGCAATAAACATGGGGGACAGATAATTCTTTCATAAGCTGATTTCATTTCCCTTGAGTAAGTAACCAGGAATGGGATGGCTGGGTCATTTGGTAGATTTATATTCTGATTTCTTAGGTATCTCCGTACTGTCTTCCATAGTGACTTTATCAGTTTACATTCCCACCAACAGTGGATTAGGGTACCTTTTTTCCACATCCTCACCAGCATTTGTTATTTGTTGGTTTCTGAATGAAAACCTTTCTAACAGGGGTGAGGTGAAACCTCATTGTGGTTATGATTTGCATTTCCCTGACAGCTAGTGATCCTGAACATATTTTCATGCGTCTATTGGCCATTTGGATTTCCTCTTTTGAAAAATGTCTATTTTAAGTCCTTTGCTTATTTCATAACTGGGTTGTTTGTTTTGTTATGTTGACTTTTTTTAAACTTTTATTTAGTAAATATAATTTTCCAAAGTACAGTTTATGGATTACAATGGCTTTTTCCCCCCATAACTTCCCTCCCACCCACACCCTTCCCATCTCCCGTTCCCTCTCCCATTCCATTCACATCAAGATTCATTTTCAATTATCTTTATATATAGAAGATCGATTTAGTATATATTAAGTAAAGATTTCAACAGTTTGCACCACACAGAACATAAAGTGTAAAATACTGTTTGAGTACTAGTTATAGCATTAATTCACATTATTGAATTTCTTGAGCTTTTTATATGTTCAGGTTATTAATCCTTTATCAGTTGCATAGCATGCAAATAAGTTCTCCCGTTCTGTTTGTTGCCTCTTCACTTTTGCAGTGCAGATGCTTCTAAATTTGATGTAATCCCATTTGTCAATTTTGGCTTTGATTGCCTGTGCTTCTGGGGTCTTTTCCAAGAACTCTTTGCCTATGCCAATGTCTTGCAGTGTTTCCCCAATGTTCTCTAATAATTTAATGGTATTGGGTCATAGATTTAAGTCTTTAATCCATTTTGAGTGGATTTTTGTGTTAGGTGCAAGGTACGGTCTTGCTTCATAGCTCTGTCAATGGAGACCCAATTTTACCAGAATCATTTGTTGAAGAGACTGTCTTTGCTCCAGGGATTTATTTCAGCTCTTTTGTCAAAGATAAGTTGGTTGTAGGTGCATGGATTGATTTCTGGCATTTCTATTCTGTTCCATTGGTCTATCCATCTGTTTTTGTACCAGTATCAGGCTGTTTTGATTATAACTGCCCTATAGTATGTCTTGAAATCTGGTATTGTGATGCCTCCTGCTTTGTTTTTGTTTTAAAAGATTGCTTCAGCTATTCAGGGTCTCCTGTGTTTCCATATTAATTTCAGTATCATTTTTTCTATATCTGAGAAGAATGTCCTTGGTATTTTGATTGGTATCACATTGAATTTATAAATTGCTTTTGGTAGTATGGACATTTTGATGATACTGATTCTTCCAATCCATGAACATGGAAGATTTTTTGATTTTTTTGTATCATCTATTTCTTTCTTTAATATTTTGTAATTCTCATTGTTTGACATCCTTGGTTAAATTTATCCCAAGGTATTTCATTTTTTTGTAGCTATTGTGTATGAGATTGATCTTAGAAGTTCTTTCTCTGCTGCGGCAATGTCTGTATATACCAAAATTGTTGATTTTTTGTGTGTTGAATTTATATCCTGCCACTTTACCAAACTCAAAATTGAGTTCCAATAGTCTCTCAGCAAAAATCCTTTGGATTCCTTATTATGGAATCATGTCATCTGCAAATAGGGATAGTTTGACTTCTTCCTTCACATTTCTATCCTTTTGATTTCATTTTCTTGGCTAATGGCTCTGGCAAAACTTACAAGGCTATATTAAATAGCAATGGTGAGAGTAGATATCCTTGTCTGGTTATGGATATTAGGGGGAATGCTTCCAACTTTTCCCCATTCACTAGGGTGCTGATCATGGGTTTGTCATAAATTGCCTTGATTGTGTTGAGGAATGTTCCTTCTATATCCAATTTGCTTAAGGTTTTCATCATGAAAGGAGGTTGTATTTTTTCATATGCTTTCTCTGAATCTATTGAGATAATCATATGGGTTTTTGTTCTTCAGTTTGTTAATGTGATGTATCACTTTTATTGATTTGCATATATTGAACTATCCTTAATTACCTGGGACAAATTTCACTTTGTCTGGGTGAATGATCTTTCTGATATGTTGTTGGATTCGATTGGCAAGTATTTTGTGGAGGATTTTTTATCTATGTTCATCAGAGACATTGGTCTGTAGTTCCATTTCTCTGTCATATCTTTCTCTGGCTTAGGAATTAAGGTGATGCAGGCTTCACAGAAGGAGTTTGGAAGGATTCCCTCCCTTTCAGTTGTTTTGCATAGTTTGAAAAGAATTAGAATTAGCTCTTCTTTAAAAGTCTGGTAGAATTCAACAGTAAAGCTATCCAGTCCTGGACTTTTCTTTGTTGGGATGGTCTTTATTACTGATTCAATTTCCATCTTGGTTATTGATCTGTTTAGGTTTTCTAGGTCTTCATGACTCAATTTTGGTAGTTTGGATGTGCCTCGGAATCTATCCATTTCTTCCACATTTCCCAATTTTTTTGCCATACAGCTGTTTGTAGTAATTCTTGATGACTCTTTATTTCTATAATATCTGTTGTTACATTTCCTTTTCCTACCTAATTTTATTGATTTGGGTCTTTCTCTCTTTCTCTCTCTCTCTAGGTTAGTTGTGCCAATGGTGTGACAATTTTGTTTATTTTTTTCCAAAAAACCAGTTCTTTGTTTTGTTGATCTTTGGTATTTTTTTGTTTCAGTTTTGTTTATTTCTTCTCTAATTTTAATTTTTTCTTTCCTCCTATTAATTTTGGGTTTAGTTTGCTGTTGTTTTTCTAGGCCCTGGGGATGTATTGATAGCTTTTTTATTTGATGCCTTTCCCATTTCTTGATGTAGGCTAATTGCTATAAACTTTCTTCTTTTTTGCTATATTCCATAAGATTTGTATTGTCATCTTTATTTTTTCCAGAAATTTTTTGATTTCTCTTTCAATTTCTTTAATTATCCACTGTTCATTCAGGAGCATGCTTTTCAGTCTCCACGTGTTTGCATATGTTCTAGAGATTCATGAGTTGTTGATTTACAGCTTTATTCCATTGTGGCCAGAGAAGATGCATGGTATGATTTTGATTTTTTTGAATTTGCTGAGACTTACTTTATGGCCTAGCATCTAGTCAGTCCTAGAGTAAGTTCCATACATTGGTGAGTAGAATATGCATTCTGTGACTGTAGGATGGAATGTTCTATGGCTATCTGTTAGGTCCATTTGGTCTAATAACTCTGTGTTTCCTTGCTGATTTTCTGTCTGATTGATCTGTCCATTAGTGAAAGTTGGGTATTGAAGTCTCTCATTACTATCGTATGGGTGTCTATGTTTCCATTTAGATTTATTAATGTTTCTTTTAAATAGCCTAGTGCCTTGTAATTAGGTGGATATACATTTATAATAGTCACATGATCCCTTAATCATTACATAGTGAACTTCTTTGTCTCTTTTAACAGTTTTTGCATTACAGTCTATTGATATTAGGATGGCTGCATCAGCTCTTTTTTGTTTTCTGTTAGGATGGAATATCTTTTTTCATTCTTTCAGTTTCAGTGTTCATATACCTTTGTTGGTGAAACATGTGTCTTATGAGCAGCAAATAGATGGATTTTGTTTTTTAATCCATTCAGCCAGTCTGTGTCTTTTAACTGGAAAGTTGAGGCCATTTACAAAGTGACTATTGATAAATAATGACTTTGCCCTGCCATTTTCCCGTAAATATTCCCATTGTTTACTTTGAATTTCCTTTGTACTTTTACTGAGAGGTTTTCTGTCTTCACTTCATAGTGATGACCATGTTTCTGTGTTTCTGTGTGTAGCACATCCTTAAGTGTCTTTTATATAAGGCTGGATGGGTGGTGACAAATTCTTTCAATTTCTGTTTGTTATGAAAGGTCTTTATTTCACTTTCATTCCTAATTGAGAGCTTTGCAGGGTACAGTGTTCTGGGTTGACAGTTTTTTTTCTCTTAAATCTGAATATATCTTGCCATTCTCTCCCAGCCTGTAAGGTTTCTGATGAAAAGTCTGCTGTGAGTCTAATTAGAGATTCTCTGAAAATAATCTGGTGTTTCTCTCATGCATATTTTAGAATCTTTTCTTTGTATTTTACTGTGGAGAGTTTGACTACAATATGTCATGGTGAAGATCTTTTCTGGTCATGTCTAATTGGATTTCTATGTTTTCCTGTACTTGAATGTCCCTTTCATTCTCCGAATTGGAAAGTTTTCTGTAATTATTTCACTAAAAAGGCCTTCTAATCCATCCTCTTTCCATGCCTTTAGGAACTGTTAAAACCTGTATGTTGGGACATTTGATAGTATCCCATAGATCTTCAACATTATTTTTTAGTTTTCTAATTTCTTCTTTTTTTTTTTTTTCAGTTTGTAAAATTTTCCAGTGATTTGACTTCTAAATCGGATATTCTTTCTTCTATTTCACTAAGTCTGTTGTTAAGGCTTTCCACCACATTTTTAATTTGTTCTGCTGAATTCTTCATTTCAAAGATTTAATTTTAATTTCTCTTTAAGATCTCAATTTCATGGGAGAAATTTTCTTTCATGTCATGTACGGTTTTCAGTAATTTGTGGATTTACTTCTGATTACTTCTAAGTAATACTATGATCAATTTATTGAATTGCGTTTCTTCAATCTCTTCATTTTCACATTCTAGTATTGAAGTGTTGTGTTTTTTTGAGGGCATCATGTTGCCTTCTTCATTCTTGTTTCTTGAATTGCTGCATTTATTATTCAGCATTTGTGGAGATACTCGTTGGTTTCTTTGTTTTTTTTTTTTTTTTTTTTTTTTTTTTTTTTTTTTTCTCTGTGATGGCTTTTATCTTTGGATCATATCTCTTTGACTTAGTGGAGTGTCCACTTTTTCTGTGAATACCCAGAGGTATGTGGTGGATTGGCCAGGGAGCTCTGTTCAGTGCTGCAGGGTGAAGGAAGTGCACAAGGTTTGGTCTGGTAAATCTCTCCACTGCCATTTTTTTTTTTTTGGTCAGAGGGGAGGTTTGTTCTGCTCTGTTGGCATAGTCTCACGCTCATCTCCTTTCCTCTTAGGAGACTAGTGTTTGAGTGCTAGCCCCAGTGGGTACAATATTCATCCACATTCACACAAGAACCACACAAAGGATCTGTGCAGTCCTTGGTGTAAGATTAGATACCACAGCAATAACCCTCACCAGGGAATCAGAGAACCCTTCGAGCATGGAGCTACCCTTAGGGAATTCCCAAAGTCCCAACCACACCCTGTGCCCTCCCACACAGTCACAGTGTTTTCACAGTCCTGGCACATAAGCCTCCCACAACCACAAGCCCCCAGTCCCTGTCATTCTCCCGCCCAGACTTGGGCATCTCCACTCAGCTGGTTACTGAGAGTGTAGACACAAACTGGCGCAGCTGTTACATATGTCCAAAATGGCTCCTGCCCTCTCTCAGCTTGTTATAGAAGAGAAGTTTTATAACTGAGAGCACTGAATATAGAAGAAAAAATTGATAAACTTAATAGATTAAATTTCCTTAAGATTAAGAACGATTGCTTTTTAAAGAAATTCTATTAAGAAAGAATAGAAAACTGTGATATATATATATGACAAAGAACCTTGTGAAAGAAATATAAGGAGCTTGTACAAATCAATGTGAAAAAGACAAAAAACACAAGTGTAGACGAAAGACATGTTATATAAGAGGATATCCCAATCTCCAATTAGCAATATGAAAAACTATAAAACCTCATAAGTAGTCAGTGATTAAATGCATTATTTAAATCAAAATTATTTATCACTACAACTCTCTTTCCAGAAAGGCTAAAATTTTAAAAATTGAAAATACTAAGTGACAGTGAAGATATAGAATAACTAGAATTCTACATTTCTTGTGGGAGCAGATACCGGCACAACCTCTTTGGGAAAATCAATTAGGGAGGTCATTCTTTCGAACTTACATTTCTTTTTCAAGAAGCAGCACCTCCTTTTCCTTTTCCATCTTCCTCAGAATTTCCTGGTATTTCTTCCCACAAAAAATGAAAAAAAAAAAGTCACCAACGAGAATTTCTGTCTTTCATTACAATGTCATTGATAAAAAATATTCTGCTAAGACTAAGTCTTCATATTCTATATGGTACATTCCTTGGAGTGTTCACATAAAGGTAAGGAAGATGTTCTAATAAAAAAGTATGAGATATTAGTGACCAGAATGGATACGAATAAAAGGCATTCTCATTATGGACCCTGCTCTGATTCAAACGACAGCTCTAATGCTTACCAGCTGTGTTCCCCAGAGCATGTTACCTAACTCCTTATAACCTCAGTGTTCTCCTGCTTGTAACATTATCATTCTAATAGAATTATCAGGCAGATTGAGGAAAAATTGAGAGTTTAACCCAGTGCCCGGCACAAAACAAATTCTTAATGAACATCTCTCTTGTTATTTCTACTGTTGCATAACAGGCATTCTCATGCCTAATGAGAAACCAACGACTTCAAAGCCTTGGAGAAATTTTGCCCTTACTCTGCCTTTTCCCCAGAGCCCTGGTACCTTTATGTAGTGGGCCTGATCCTCACAGAGCTGATACACAGACTGGTAGTCACTCTCTACCTAGAAAGAAAAGAAAATTAACACATCCCGTAAGTTAAAGGAGAACCAAGCCTGAGCTGCTCCCTGGAGCCCTACTTGGTACATTGGACAGTTGCCTGGTTTCCAAGCAAGTCCTTAGTTGAAGGAAAACTACAATATCACAAAGAGGTGATCTCATAATTCACTTGTCTAATTTTCACAAAGAAAATTGCCCAGGTTGCCATATGCTCTTAGGTGGGACTCCAAGGGATATTTCAGGGCACTTATACTTGGGATGTGATGGTGGTATTTGAGGTAGAGGAATATTTTAAGAAATGGAAAAAGTAATACTTTTAAGAGACACTTTCTTCTCCTTCCTTTGCCTCAAATGATTCTGTTTATAAGACCCTTTGAGGGGCTGTGGCGCAGCAGGTTAAAGCCCTGGCCTGAAGCACTGGCATCTCATATGGGCACCAATTCTAGTCCTGACTGCTCCTCTTCCAATCCAGCTTTCTGCTATGGCCTGGGAAAGCAGTAGCAGATGGCCCAAGTCATTGGGCCCCTGCACCCATGTGGGAGACCTGGAAGATGCTCCTGGCTCCTGGCTTCGGATAAGCCCAGCTCCGGGTGTTGCAGCCATCTGGGGAGTGAACCAGCAGATGGAAGACCTTTGTTTCTGTCTCTACCTCTCTCTATAACTCTCTCTCAAATAAATAAAATAAATCTTTAAAAAAAGACCCTTTGAGTTATCTCCCTTTAAAATTTTTTTATTTAATGAATATAAATTTCCAAAGTACAGAATATGGATTACAATGGCTTCTTCCCCCATAACGTCATTTTATTTATTTGAAAGACAGAGTTACAGAGATAGGGAGAGAGAGAGAAAGAAAAAGAAAGAGAGGAAGAGAGAGAGGAGAATGAATCTTCCATTTGCTGGTTCACTCCTCAAATCAGAATCCAGGAGCCAAGAGTCTCCTCTGAGTCTCCCAAGCACTTGGGCCCTCCTCCCTTACCCTCCCAGGCACATTAGCAGGGAGCTGGATTGGAAATAGGAGCAGCTGGGACTCGAACCTGCACCCATATGGGATGCCAGTGCTGCAGGTTGGGGTTTTAACATGCTGCACCACAGTGTAAACCCCTTAAAATGTTTTTTAAGGCAAAGATAAAGAGAGAGAGATAATATCTTTGATCTACTGATTCATTATCCAAATGCCACAACAGCCAGAGCTGGACCAGGCCAAAGCCTGGAAACAGGAGCAAGGGACTCAATCCACATCTCCCACATTGGTGGCAAGGACCCAAGCACTTGAGTCATCAATTGCTTCCTCCCAGGGTGCATATGAGTAGGGGCTCAGACTCAAACCCAGGCACTCCCATAAGGAATGTGAGCATCTTAAGCAGGGTGGATTAACTACTGTGCCAAACATCTGCCCCATCCTGTTCTTATCCTGCATAGACCCTCAGCAGAAGAGACAACTTCATCTACCTTGGCCATTTCCTTTTCTTGATTTGCACAGGACTCCATTGTCATCTGTACTTTTACCTATGGAAGACAATGAGTGACAGTAGAACGTTTATAGCATTCTTTTAGAGAAGGCAAATGGGTAATTATCATCTTCTCCATACTAGCAAAGAACATAATGATGGCTATAGATTGAGGACATGTGATAGCAATGTATTAGAGCAGGCATGGTTACTACCCTCATTTTTATAGATAAGGAAACAAAAAGGCATGGATTCAGTTAAGTATACAATCATAGTACGTCACATAGTGACAGAATAGCCATGTAAATCTTGGTAGCCTGATTCCCCAGTGAACCTTATCCATCCTTCCTGCAGTCCTATTCACCAAAGCTCACCAGATATTTTCTCCACTCATATTCAGTATGGTGCAGTAGTATGCCCTCTGAATCACATAAAAATCAAAAGAAAACCTTGCTCCTCTTTTTCAGAGGGAAAAAAAGATAGTGGGGCTCTTGCATGGTGGGCTTAGTCAGTTGGTCATATTTGCCACATATATCTGTAATGAGCCTCCCAATCATGGGAGTCCAATTCTTTCATTCAATAAATATTTATTGGATATCTATCATGTGCCCGGAAATATTATAGGCACTCAGGTGTGAACACAAAATTCATGTTGGAAAATTCATGTGAAACACAAAATTCATGTTGTCAATGGATTTATCTTCCAGTAGCATACAATGATAATAAAAATTAATGTTTTTTAAAAAAGCCCTTGGCCTACAAACCCTGGGTTTGAAAACCAGATTGTTGACAGAGCCCTGTGTAATTGTGGATGTTACTATTTTATTCCTTGAATATCTTATTTATGTGTCCTCATTGATATCATGCACTTCATGATGGCAGACCCTGACAAGCATTCAGAACATGTGTTGCATTGGCCGGTGGATGATGAGGCTTCACAAGCAATTCCCTCCATTTTGATGCCATGGAAGCCATCTCTGCTACGAGTGTGACAAGGAATGACCTTACGAATGCCCCATGGGCCTTTAACATCTCACCTCAGGGAGTCCTAGAAAACAACAACTTCCAGAACCTAGAATTGACAGATAGTCTGGAAAATCTTTAGGTTTGTTTTTCTACTCACCTTCAATTCTGCCAACATTTGCTTTAGGATTCCTTGATCAAGGCCAACATTCTGAAACCTGTTTGAAATCTGAAATATCATTCCACATATCAAGAACTAAGTAAGGCATACAACCATGAAAACTTGGGAGAGTGGCAGATTTGACTATCTGAGGCAGCAAAATGGTTAACTCATCCAGGTCTCCATAGACACCTGATGGAACACTGTTTGCATTTCCCTAAGAAAGCTGTCTGATTCCATGCTAGCTGGACACAACTTTTGTTCCCATATCCTGTGGATGCTAAGGCTCAAAGAGGAGAAGAGGAGGATGGGAGAGGCAATAGAGTGGGGCAAAATGTTTGGGGAAGGAGGAACACCTCATTTCCTCCTTTATAGTCTTTCATCTTGCTCCGCAATCTGAAATTCCCAATTAATGCTGGCCTTGGTCAGAGTTTGTTCTAAGATCCATTAGATAGCAGTACATGGATTTTGCTGGTTACTTCAGACTGTAGAGTTCAGGAAGACAATTATGGGGATTCCTCAGAAATGGATTTTGTGGTGTGGAAACCAGCCCTTTCATTCATATACCTCCTTCTGAGTGTGCCCAGACCCCCTCTCTCAGGCTCCCAGCCCACCCTAACGGTCTTTCCTGTATGAAGACAATGTTCCAGGGCCCCTCTTACCTCCTTCTGAAGCTCTGCTACATTCCTGCTAAGGAGCTTATTCCTTTTTTCCTGTGGGGAGAAGAAAGCAAAGGGGGAAAGCCTATGCTGCTCTCCTATCCTCCCCTTTACCAGACCCCTGAAATAATATCTGGGGATGAGTGTACCAAGTAGAAAAAATGTACTCTGGCCCCACGTGGTGGATCCAGAAACAGAGCCCAGGCACCAGCTCCTTTGCTGAGTGCTACATCCCAGAACACTCTCTTAAACAGCTGTGATTCCTACAGATACAGAAATGATGAGCATGTGATGATTGCTGGGAAAGAGGGCACAGTAGAATTGTGAGCAAGTGCATCCAAGGATGCCTGGCTAGATGTTTGCTTACCAGTTGTCCTGACTCCAGTTTCAGGTCCTTCAAGGCTTCCTCCTTCTCTAGTATGATGTGGTTCAACTCCTCCTTCTCTTTGACTCGCCCCAGTGACAGGGTGATCTCTGTTTCCAGACTGAAAATTAGAAAATTATCCAGGTGTGGGGCAGTCCTAAGGAAGCCACCAGGACTTCAGCTTGAGGCGCTACCCTAAAGTCTCAGGGATCTCTAGTGACCACCAAGGGCAGTGGTGATAAAATGTCAACCTAATGCAGACATTTAATGCACAAATCTATACGTAAAGCATTTTGAGGGCACCACAGTTCATACTTTAGAATTTAAATAGCATGCCACAACTAGCCATAAAAAGGAGTCATCCACCTTTCAATTTTCTCTCTATCCTAAGGGACATTCAGATAAAAAGAAACCCTTCCCCTCACCAACAGCAAATCCCAACCTTTGAATAGTTTCTTCTTTCTCTTGGATTTTTCTAAGAAGAATCTGATTTGCCTCATCCAGTTTCTGCAGGTCCTGTTCAAGATCTGAGTTCAGGTAGTCAAGATTCTGTTTTGTGACTTCCAAATTTGGTATTTCCATCATCTTGCACCTATAGGAAAATTATCTTCATTACTAAATTCAGGCCAGGAAAATACAAGAGCATAATATGGAAGATTTTTCCTGTAACCTTACTTATTCCCCCAATTGCTGTAGTTAGTAAGCCTAACCAGTTCTACCTTATTTTCCATGATAAATTGATTTCCACAGTGTTTTGCATAAAGAAAATTGCTGGAGTCAAATCCCATTTTATTTTCAAATATTATAAGTGGAACTAAATACACTATAATTCTTTTATCAAGCAAAATAAAGGTTTTTCATATGCATAATCATTCTCTAACTTACATACTTATTTTTATATGGAGTATGTGTAATCCAGTGAACCTATAAAGTGTGTGAGCATCTAAAAGGGAGAGGAATTTCTTCCATATCCATTGGTTGCAGACTTGACTATTTACTAACCCAACTGGACAGATGTGTTTGCTGAGTGTAGAGCTAGAAAGCGGAGGGATCATTTCCCCAAATAAGACCGATATGCTATTTAAGACAACAGCTATTTCTGAAAACCACTCCATTGATCTGAAAGAACTACAAAGAACTGAAACAAAAGCTTTTGTCTCCTCAGGCTTGAGGATACCTTGGCATAACCAAGATTTTCCTCCTTCCTGGATTGCAGGAGATTCTCCCTCTAGTACCAAAGTCCTTGTTAATGTCAGTACTTACACGTCATTCAATGGGTTCTGTCCAACTTCTTCCATCGTAAGTTTCCTAAAATGTGAATGCAAACATCTGTTATGGAAATGAAGCACCTGATGTCCAACACATGAAGGATCAGTAAAGAGGTAGATATGGTATTCAGGCAGGACAAAGCCGAGACAGAAACTCAAGCTTTCTATACTCTGCTTCCCAGGATCAACTGCAATATCATGTACAAACTAAATTTCAGCACAACAGATCATATTTTAATTTAAAATGCTGTAAATGAATCTAATTAGAGTATAGACATATTTTTGTTTCCAAAAATTTTCACTCTTTGGTTACTTCTATCTTTTTTAACCTACCTTTATCTCATCACTGGTAAAGTGTAAACAGTACCCCTGCACGTCTGTTGAAAAATTAACGAACACCTTATTTGTAATCCAAACCTTCAGGAAAACTTAGAAAACAATGTAGAAGAGTCAGAGTAAAAAAGTTGGCTGCCTGGGGCTGACATTGTGATGCAGCAGGTTAAGCCACCTTGAGATGCCTGAATCCCATATCAAAGTGCCAGTTCTAGTCCTGGTTCCTCTGCTGCTTATCAGCTTCCTGTCAGAGCACTTGGGAAGGCAGTGGATGATGGCTGAGTCCCAGCAGCCCATGTGGGAGACCCAGAAACAGCTCCAGACTCCTGGATTTGACTTGGCTTAGCCCTGGCTATTGCAGGCATTTGGGGAATGGACCAATGAATGGAAGCTCTCTCTCCCTCCTCTTCCTCCTCCTCCTTCTTTTTCTTCTCCTTCCTCTCTCTCTCTCTCCCCTCTCCTTCCCTCATCCCTCCCTCTCTCTCTCCCTTTCTCTCCGTGTTACTCTGTATTTCAAATAAATAAGAAGATAAATCTTTTTAGAAGTTGGCTGCCTGATTTCTATTAGTCCACTGCTGTCCTATTTTCATCAAGCTCTAGATACTACAGGCTGAGTTGATCCTGAAACAGCAGGAAAAAACACAGCATGTGAGCAGTAGGCTACAACTACTAGAAGACAGAACAATCAAGCCCTGAGGAACATCCTCTCCTGGTTATTAATCCATAATTAAAGTTCAGGACAAGACCAATCAAAGTAGAATGTAAAACCTCTTCTCCTTTCCATATTCCATCTTCTTATCCATTGCCTTCCTTTGAATATTTTTTAAAGTTTACTTTTTAATTCCTTATCATACCTCCTCGCTTCATCATGCTCCCTGCTTTTCTTTCTATTCTCTTTATAGACAAGATGTCCCAGGCTGTGATAATGCCCTCTGAGCTTACCCTTCTTTTCCCAACCAAGATTTCTTCTCCTTTCAGTAGAGATTTCCAATTGAACAACAGAACTTTCAGAAAAGGCACTGCCTTTCTGACTGAGTTCCCCACTTAGAGCTGTACCTGTCCTCTCTGGCTGGGTGGGGCAGCATGTCATAGTAGGCAGTGTGATAGGTGGGATGGCAACAACGCATTGTCATCCCTGTGGGCAGAGTAAAAGCACAGTGCAGAACTTTATCTCAGTATAGATCTCTTCTGAAATGGGAAAATATCTATAGGACAGACTTCTAGACACAGTTGGAATCTCTTCTAAAGCAGCAACCAGCTCTATGGAACCCATTCCATTTCTCTGAATTTCTGGGCCCAGCAGTGGTTGTAATCACTCTCTTTCCTTTTCTGGGATCTCTGTGGCATGCATGCAAATTGCTGCCCCCAAATCCAAACCATGCATCTCTATTCAGTGCATCCAAGAGCTACATGGTAGGTCAGAGAGCAGGCCAGGAAAAATCTGAAAACAGTCTTCTCTCTCGAGCTAAGCAAGCGCTGACTCTCACCAAGCTGGGTTCTTGGAGTTGAAAAGCAAACTCCTTTATTTCGCACTGCAAGTCACTGGGAAGGAAGGGTATGATGTTTCAAAGGTGGAGGGAGTATGTAGAGGTGGAGAAGGAGGTCAAAAAGAGGAGTGTTAGATTTAGAGACCCAAGTACACTCTCCATTCTTTCAGAATTCCCTCTTCATTTTTTAAGGTCTTAAATTACTGGGATAGTAGATGGAGTTTTACATATCAGTGTCACATTACTAAGCATTCCTGGAATCCTCTCTGTGTTGACTAAAAAGTTGAGACATGGCTGATTGGATACATACCAACTTAGGAATACACCTGGACTTCAAATCTGTCCATTTCTTTCCCTTAAGGCCAATTCAGTCCTCTATGATCCAAGTCAAACCTTTTCCATATAAATTATAGTAATCTGGGCCAGTGTTGTGATATAGCAGGTTAAGCTGCTGCTTGCGATACAATGCTGACATCCGATATGGGTGCCAGTTGCTCCACTTCTGATCTAGCTCCCTGCGAGTGGCCTGGAAAGATCAGTGGAAGATGGTCCAAGTGCTTAGGCTCTTATACTCAGTGGAAGATCTGGAAGACGCTCCTGGCTCCTGGCTTCACCCTGGCCCAACCTTGGGTTTTGCAGTCCTTTGGGGAGTGAACCAACAGATGCGAGATCTCTGTGTCTCCCTCTGACCTTAAAAAAAGTGTATGTCCCTGAAAAATGCCTTCTAGAACACAGCACCCTCTGAAGGAATGTGTTGTAATTCTATCCATCCATCTCAACTCATCCCAAATGCTGCTGTGACTACTTGTCTCTACAAACCAACGCTCTAACCAAGCAGAATTAATCACTCCAATCTCTGTTCTCCTCTTCCGATATTTTATTTTATTTTTAATCTGGTCTCCATTCAACAACTGGGCCTTGAGAGAGTATGTTTCAGTCAAAAGCATTTTGATCTCCTTCCCCAGTTTTGTTCCAGGTATGCTGTTTACACAGAATTCAGTGTGGAAATGAGCTCTGTTAGACATAGAGAGCACCTGAATTTTATTTTATCCTGGCACTTCACAGTTGTGCTATATTGAACAATTACTTAATCTCTGGGAGCTCAAGTCTTCTTACCTGTAAAATGGGTAAAATAGTATACATAAAGTTAACATAATGCATAGCATGCAATGATACCCAGTTCTCACTCATTGTGTCCAATATAGTACTTCATTTTCTAACTCTTATGACCTTTGCATATGGCATGTGCTGAATGCTTTTAGCATAAGTGCATGAATAAATGACTCATTCTACTCCATCTCTCTAGAACAGGTGTTCTTTGCTCTTTTCTCCTTCTAACACACCTGTGAAACTCTTACCTATACAGTGCCATTTGTAAAATCTCATTAGCAACACAGTGCACCATGGTAAAATCCTCAACAGAAGGGCGCATTCTCTAGGATAGACAAATCAGCAGGGATGTAGTTTGGAAGCCCCTGTTAAATATGTCAGGGCAGCAGGTGCCTCTGGTTGAGAATTGCTGATGAAGAACATATTCGTCCCACCAAACTGCACATCTTCCATCTGTAAAGATGCTGTCCACATTAACCCTATCCACAAAACTTTCCAAACTGACCACTTCTTAGCTTATTGTTCCAAGTACACAATGTGAACTTTCAAAGTGACCATGTTTCCCTTTTTGTGTTCACAACAAGAAACTCAAGGCTACACTGGAAGGCCCATATTTTCATGATTGTGTTGAACATCAAATGGTATATATCTGGCCTCTCCTGTTGTATCATATTTCACATAGTCCTAATTTTATACTTATTTTCCCACTATTTTGTGCTAAGTATAGATGTAGATACTGAAGAGACCAAAACAGATGGACATAGGGACATAAACACAAATGTAAATATAAGCCACGTTTATAGATGTGAGAGCAGAAAGAGTAACATCGAGTGTGGTGGATAAGACTATTTGTGTAGGAATCAAACCGATTTGACTGAATTGCTCCACCACTGCCTAGAAGGAAGGTCTTGAACAACTTATTTAACCTTTTTGAGCCTCAGTTTTCTATTCATAAAGTGGAGATAATGTGTATCTAGTTCATAAAATTATTGTAAGATTAAAAAAAGACGTAGCACAATTCCTGACCTAAAACAAATGCTCGGTGAACACCTATAATTATCATCATTATTAAAAGCATCTACACTGGCTCAGTACCACTAACAGCACATCCTCTTCCATGACTTAATTCTTCCAGCCTGCATTTCGACCAAGTATCATAACTGTTCTGATGGATTGCAGCTTCCTTCATGTGTCATATTCTTCAGTTTCTGATTCTCTTTTCAGTACCCTTGACTTGACTTTTTTTTTAAACCAACGTGACCCTTGATGCTGTGACTTTTCACTTGATGCAGTCCATGGACTTTTCCTTAGTTTCATTCTCTGTCACTTCAGACCAACCCTCTTCTAATCCTTACCCAACTCAGCTTTTAGAATTAAAAGTACTCACTTGTTTAGATAGGGCACAGGGTTCATCAGATGCCTTAAGTCCTAAGTAACAGATATTTGTGGCCACAGTGGTCAACAGAATGAACCCTGAGCTGATTCATTAGCCAGGGAGTAGGATACAGTTGACTCAGGACAAAGGTGTGAAACTTTATTGTAAGAAACAGGAATTTGGGAGTGTTATGCTAATTAAAAATGCAAAGTTTGGGGGCAGCCATTTGGTCTACTTATTAAGGTGCTGGTCAAAGTGTTAGTATGTGTGATTTCTAGTTCCCAGCATTGATTGTAAGTTCCTGCCAGGGCTGGTGCTGTGGCACAGTGGGTTAATGTGGCCTTAAGTGCCAGCATCCCATTTGGGTGTCGGTTCTAGTCCTGGCTGCTCCCCTTCCAATCCAGCTCTCTGCTATGGCCTAGATAGAAGTAGAAGATGGCCCAAGTCCTTGGGCCCCTGTACCCATGTGGGAGACCCAGAAGAAGCTCCTGGCTCCTGGCTTTGGATCGGCACAGTTCCGGCCGTTGTGGCCAATTGGGGAGTGAACCATCGGATGGAAGACCTCTCTCTCTCTGCATCTACTCTCTCTGTGTAACTCTGACTTTCAAATAAATAAGTAAATCTTAAAAAAATAAAAAGTTCCTGCCAATGCAGATTTTGGGATGCAGCAGGTAATTGTTGAGTTCCTGTCACACACATAGGATCCCTGGACTGGAGTCCTTTCTCCAGACTTGGCTGGGCTGTTGTGGGCATTTGGAGACTGAAGGATGAGAGACCTTTCTCTGTCTTTCTATCTCAAATCAATTTTACAGAAGGAAATTTTTCTCTCTGGAAAGGAAAAATGGATTTACATATTTGCACCAGTGTATAAAAACAAATGTCATTTTTAACGGATCGGGAAAGCATTTTCAGTTGGATTCAATAAAGGTCTGGCATACAGAGATCTCTTAAGGTTCTCAGTCATTTGTCATCTCATCTGGTGGTTGCTCTGGGGTGATATTTATTTTTTTAAGTAACCTTATTTTGAAATAATTACAGTAACTTATAAAATTAGTACTGAGAGGCCTCCTGTACTCATCACATAGTTTTCCTCAAGGTACCTTATATAAGGTATAGTAGCCAAAATATTGACATTGGTATATTATGTGTATTTATTTCTATGACATTTTATCATAACTAGGCTTGTGTAACCATCAATACAATGAAGTTTCAGAACTATTTCACCACCACAAAGATCTTCATTCCCCTCACAGACACACCCACTTTATTCAGCTTCATCATGCCCCTGGCAACCACTAATGTGCTTTCCTTATTTATAATTTTACCACTTCAAGAATGTTACATAGGAGCAGGCTAAGCCTCTGCTTGCGATGCCCACCTCCCGTGTCAGAGTGCTTGGGACTGAGTCCCACCTCTGCATCCTATCCAGCTTC